AACTACTTTGTTCCGCTGCGCTATGAAGTGGGGATGGGCCTCAAGATGCCTCCCATACTTCGTGAGGGGTGTTAGAGCTCAATTGGAGGAGCACGTACGCCTCTGGCGTCATGTTGATGATGCAAGTTGCTTAAGTGCCCTTCCTACTCGCCTATATTACTAGCGTGATACCACTGTGAATTTTCTTTTCTTTTTTTAGAAATGTGCGTTTTTTTCTGAAATATAAAATCTTCAGTTGTGTTGGACTAGAATGAATATAAAATCCAAAGATAAGATTGTTGGGGGTGAGGCTAGCGTATGTAAAGAGCCACATACATTCGACATTTATGACATGTTATCAGACGTAATGTATGAGTGACTGATGCCAGTAAAACACTGCCACAAGCAAACGCATAGTTTTATTGATGCTTTCAGGACAGGGTAATCACGGCTTTCATCATTGATTCGGTTATTTTGCGAGATCGAAGCGCTTATTTTCCCTCAGAAACTCATCATACTTTCTAAGGAATCTCTTGAACCCTGACGGTAGTGACCACCAGCCACTCCATAAGATACTGTTCCATTGAGCCTTGACATCGTCGTAAGATTTGCCCTCCTTAAGCAGCTCCTTAAATCTGCGCTCGAGTATTGGCGCCTCCTTCGCGAGGTACCATGCTTTGATGCGCTTCCATATTTCCACGGCCTTCCTGCCCAACTGCTTTGTTTTGTCTGCGATTTTCTGTGCGACTTGGGAGATTCCGCGCTCCTCAGCTTCATCTCGATTATCTTCTTTCAATTGTAGTGTTCTGCTTTCGCCTCTCAGAAAACGCTTGTCATAATCGAAATCAATGTCGACCGCACGCCCACACGAAGCCAACTGGTCGGATAGTGAACACTTCACTAGTTTATTCGAGTCGCCTGAAGCAGCCTGACAACACGAAAGAAAGACGCCCACAGTCGCTAGCAACGTCCACAGGAGCAAGCGCATTGCCGTTATAGCTGATTCGTGGAGGTGTCGAATGAACCCTTCTTGTGGGCCGTTGTTCTTGATGCAGACGAATTGAAAAGTGAGCTGTTAGTGGCAATAGAGAAATCAATTTTGCTGCAGCGTCCTACAGCAGTGCCATCTGGTTGTACGAGATCGAATGGTCAAAATGGAAAGGGCTGATTTCGTGACTAATCAGCAAGAGATCATGATACAGTAATCTGCGGCAATAAGCCACACCTGATATTGGCTGCGGGGGTCTATTAAGTGTCCACGAATCGGACAAAGATAGGCGAAGCGGTTGTGTATTGGCCAATTTCTTCTTACTGGATTCTTTAGCTAAGTGCCTCGCCCATCTCCGTCGCCATTGGCATAATATAAATTCTGTCAAGATATTACTTGTTGACCCGTGTCTTATTGACGCAGATTACTGTACAGGCTCATGCGAAATGAGATTCATAAAAAGGTTGTGTTAGATTCAATAGGCGGAGATACAGTTGAAATGGTGGCCTGTAAACCGCCGAACGATATCAAATCTCTCTTACTCGGGCTTGATTTGCTTTTTTCCGTTTAAAACCGGCTCACGGTGAGCTCACCCTCAAAATCGGTGGAGACGATGCAACCCATAATTAACATGGAATTAGTAGCGGACCATTGGGTATAATTAAGGCTGAGAAGGGCAGAATGCATAGTACTTTGTTAATCTAAGCTCACGTTTCCTGCCACACGAATACATTGTGTGTATGAACGTATTTTATCACTCTAGTACACTTCATTCTGGGGGTGGCAGCGAATTACGATTGCAACATTGTATTGTATCTGGTAGGTATTTGCTGACCGCAACTCCAGATTACGAGTAGTTGCAACGGATTGAGATTTTTCAATCACCCGGTAGTTTAGAGGAGGAACTTTCATAAATGGAGTTTGAGATGTACAACTGCGCATCGAGATAATAAGTACGGCGACTCATAACCTAACACTACCAGGTTTAACTACACGTCGTTGAAAACTTATGGCTTGTAGGTGCAATTTGTGAAAATGACTTTGTCGGTGTATGATCAATACTATGCTGAATAAGTGGTTTTATGTGACGGATCTGTGAGCAAAAGCAGCTGAATATTTCTTATGTTTGATGGCGATTTTAAAAGAAAAGGCATGAGGGACGCGCATTGTTACTATAGGAGCAAGTTGGTATCATATGCTATGGATCATGGACACCCCAGGCCACGCGTATGGCTGAAAGCAAGGGGCGTGCGGTCGTGCGTGAAATACGACCGACGCACATGCATAAAGCCGCAAGTTGAATTCGTGCCATCTGTAGGATTGTACTGAAACACGTGTTGATGTGCATGGAAGCAGAAATCTGATTATCACCAGTGTACCAATACAGCATTTATAAAACGAACTTTGGCTTACAGTAGGGGTTGTCACGCTTGGAATGTTTGAATGTTTGACCAGCCAATCAAATCAAATCTTCATTTTTTTTTAAATGTGAGTGCCCCACGGAGTACAGAAAAAAGTTACATTGGGTGCACTCTTATTGGCTGATGTTTGAATGACACTGAGGTCTGGAGTCCTTCCCTCCGTGCTATGTTTGAGCACATCCAGCCATTTCCCCAGTAGTTTAGCGTTGCAGGTATCATGGCATTTGGTAGCGATTGCGTTAGGCATTATTCATTCTACGGCGGCAGTAGTTAGTGGCATATTTTCCTTGCACCAGTGTGATTTCACTATGACGAGCGTCGCGCGCTACACGATACAATTTGTGATTACGAAAGTGATTTCCTTGCGGCCAATCAAACCTGCTAACGTGACTTCAACCAATCATATTAAACATTCATCTCTTGACCAAACCTTCCTGTTTTTTGGGGAATGTTCGACTTGAAAAGGACGGGGCAGGTAGGTTTGATCTGATTGGCTGCTAAAACCTACCTTCCAACCGTGACAACCCCTAATGATCTATTAATTTCGATTTTTTTTTCTTCTTATGAGTTGGGCAGCATTTATGAAATCCTCATAGTTAACAATTTGAAGCTATGGGTAACGAACGGAGTACTGTACTCATGAGGAATCTTATACCTAATATCTAATCAAAAATTTTCTACTTGAAGAAATTGCTTCTGGAAGCCAGTACTTGCCAATCGTACTCTACTGTATTAATAGATCACTATCTCCTCAGTAATTCGTTGGATAAATTATGTACATGTTGCAGTTTACGTTACATATGTACTTTGAGTGCGTCAGATCTGGTCGCACCTCGTTGATCACGACATGGTCTCCAAGTTCAATGTACAAACTCAAGTCTCGTAATCAGTCTGGCAATTTATGGTTCAAGATCTGATGGGAAGACGTGGCTTGTAAATCCATACAAGGAGAGTGTTAATACTGGGAAAACCTTTAGGAATGGACAGCCCTCAAGGGATTAAAAACATGGCACGGCACGGGGTACACCATTTCCAGATCAAAATAAGAAATCCTCGGTTCAAAAAGAAAAATTAAGAGATCAAAACGAGATGACCTGTAATCAGTTATATATTCAACAACTGGTTTCATGTGAGATCTAAATACGAGCCTACCTGCATGCACCTTAAGCCCCTTGCACGCGCGTGTATTCTGAGTGAGTGATCTGACATGAAATCGCAATGGTATGGCGTGACTTTGGTTGACATGTTGTGCTTGGTGGCGTGCATAATGTAGTTAGCACAATGCTGAGCTTTCGTCAGGCCTAGTGGGGAGCCCTTGTACTTCATCGCTAAACGATAAGTGCTCAGTCCAAGCTGGCCGTTGGAGGGTGCGTGAGTTCTTTGCCTTTTACACTTCTCCATGAAACTCGATTTTGACTTGTAAATTATATTTGACAAGTGTTTTTTTTTTTCGATCTGAGCATTTCTTGTTTTGAACCGAGGATTTTGATCCGAAAAAGATGTATCTCGCTCGATGTTATCTCGCTCAACATTCAGCCGACCTCAAAATGTAAGCTGAACATTGATCAAAAGTAGCATGTTAAACATTTTTTGGCGTCAGGTTATCCGTATCTGATAGTTAAGGGGTATCGGTCTGTGGTCGCGAACTCGCACAAGATTGCTAGCCACGCACTTTCTTTCGTATGCGTGTAGAAGTCTAACCTCCTTGGTCTCGCGAGGACTTAACACCTGCCGTGCATCCGGCGGTGGCATTTCGTCAGCCAAAGGGAGAAGAGTGACTACTCTGTCGCTTCTAAAGGTATGTTCATGATACTGTCACCGAAATAAAACACAATAATCTAACTGGAAGGCAGCCTAATCGAAAATTATCGCATCTCCAAGACGAAATACCAAGATAAAAGCTAACAGATAGAATTTTGTGGAATCCGTTCAACATTGCATTTTTTTCTGTCGATTTGACCCGTTTTACCCTAACAGATTGTATCGCGCGCGAGCCGTTGAAGCCTGCGAAGCAAGCATTGACGCTCAAAGATCAGTACAAGGCTAACTTAAAGAATGATCTACTTGTACTAGCCGCAGGATCACCGCACTTGCAAGATGGTTTGCAAAGGCAAGTTGAGATTACAAATAAATTTACATCTAGAACCAACACCTCTAAGGCTACGCGCTTGATCTATTTCGCCCCTTCATTTGGTGCTGATTCGATCCATGAACAACCTACGAGAGCTTGCTAAAAGTTACAGCAGTAAAGATGTTATGTATGTACTAGCAAGCGCGCTTGGGGGTGTAACATTTTTTTGGCTTGTATTTATCAAATAGTACAGTAGATTTTAAGAGTTGAAAAATGGGATTACGCAAAAAAAAAAAAATGAAAGCTCCCTATCTAACTACGGATCGATAAACGTCGTTTAGCAAACAACACCCGCCATCTTCTTCGTGAGTTTGATAGTCCAGTGCGATCTTGATATGGTGCCTCGAAGTTGCCCGCGATAGAGCAACGTAGAGTTGCCCGTGTGAAAAAAACGACTGAGGCAAGTACAACCCAAGTTCTTGGAGCGTCTGTCCTTGAGCCTTATTGATTGTCATTGCAAAATTCTGAGACACTAGTTCGCTGTTAAATCAAATGTTGCACTTTAAGCGGAAGAATTTTTAAATCAGAAGCGTCGCAGACAAACGTATATGTAATACTATAAGATAATGTTTGCAGCCAATTAGAAGTGCGGATATGCGTTACGTTACATACAGACATCTACCTTATAGTTTAAGGTTGAAAAATATCTAGAAAATATAATTTTACACCCCATCAAATGGGCATATAATGCTTCCTGCAATCTGATTCGTTCTATACCACTTGGCGTTGGGCCCCTCGAATGAAGTTTGGGGCTTGTGCTGGATATCAAAACAGTGTTGCTAATTGGAGCTAATCTTCTCTTTTTTATATACTTCTAGTAGTATCTTGTATTCCATAGTACCAGAACATGTTGATGTCCATTGGTGCTCTCGTGTCTTGGCGAGCCTTTTGGAAACATAAAAGACGTGACTTGACGCCGTTGTATCTATTTCTAGTATTTCATTTATATCTATTTCTAGCATCCTTCGTTACGTAAAAAGAAAGAGTATTCCCAAACAAGTCGAAAATGATCTATTATAGTTGACACCACTTGAGTTACATGAAATTTGTACAGCGATCCATGCATTACGTACAAATTACGACAGGAAAGAATAAAATCCGTCCATGTTGACGACACGTCATGGTACTAACGTAAACACCAGATGGTTTGGCATATGGTTAGGCATTTGAACCAATAGAGTACACCAATTATGGGCTGTCATCAACTTACCCTACCTGAGCCCTTTCCCCAAAGTTTTGAGCCGTTGAGGTGCATGTTTTTTCTAGGAGCAATATCAAGTACAAAGTACAAGGTGTCCGAATTTGGCAATTTTGACCGCAAATTCGGACGCTATGCCGAAAGTTTCCCCTTATATCTAACTATCCTGTATGTAAAATCATCATTTTCTAGGGGTACTTGGTGCTTGAAATTCAGGACAAACTATTTTGACCATTCGTTGACCCATGAGTGCGTAAAACTGGCAAGTGAAGCTAATAACAGGCTGTGGCCGTAGGTTTGAATTTAGGCCTAAATAAACTACCCGACCTAAATCCAGGTCGTGTCTGTATACGACCCAAGAAAAAAATCGTCCCACTCAAACTGAGAGGTCCACGTCGATCTGTGGAGTAGCCTTTCTTCATAACTGCCTCGTTCGGGGAGTCGAACCCGCTCACCCTGTGCATTATCTGTACGTTGAGTTCCGAGGCCGTTGCGGTGATCTCGGTCGCGCAGCCACCGCTGCCATGTTAGACTCGCCATCGGCAGCTGATGTGTCCGGTGTCGAAGTAAATGCGGGCGACTCTTGTAAATTGTAATCCTTGACTCTCGACTGAGCAGACGAATGAATCAAGAAGCTTTAAACGCGCGAAATCGAACACTACTCGAGTCTTGAAAGCAAATACTAAGCAATAACTTTGTAAAGGAAAATCCACCATTATCGCGTCTGCAAGTTGCCAAGCTTCTGTCATCTCGACATGATAACATAGTCTACGACGTGTACACATCGTTATATGGAAATTGATCACCAAGTTGTATGGGCTCTCGAAAAATCAATTGGTATCACAATAATTGCAATTAATTTAGCGTAATTATTGCTTGCAGCGATTAGGCTGGCTGAAAGCAATTATTTACTATGGGGCAACGCACATTTATTTATTTACGGATATGACCGGTAACATGCTTGGGGACCAGTCGTTGAAATGAATGGCTAGCGAGTTTTAAATGGCTTACAAGCCTTGTCGGGACTGCCCTCACTGTCATTCTACATTTGCTATGTTTTCTAACAAAGCAGATTGCTCAATTCTATTTTCGTCCAGTCCTCGACGACCAGGAGAAGCCTATTCTGCCTACTACCGCCTCCGCTGCTCGGTTGTGCGCCAACAGACGTCACGGACTGGCTGGAGCAACCTGGCTCTGCACGTCAAGACTCAGCATCTTGACTACGTTGAGGTCATGTGTGCTGCAGCCCCAGCCGCTACCGGTACTCTCGCACCGTGGATTCGCCAGCACAGCCTGAACTTATTCGGTTGGATGAGCTCGGTCATCAAGAGCAATTTGCCTCTTCATTTTTACGAGGACGCAGAAACACGCAGATAATTTTGAGTTTTTAATCTGTTGGTTTTAGCTATTTACTCTGACTTTTTGTTGCTGTAGGTACACTAATCTAGAGCGCATCATCCAAGAGACGCTGTAACACGTGTTAGAGAGCGTGACGCGTCACGTAGAGGCAGCAATCAAGGTCGACATGCCGAAGCGGTACGGCATGATAATCGACGGGTGGTCGTTTAACTTCTGGCCGTGTTCGGCTGCTTTGAAAAGGCGGGAACAGCACAATACCCGCTGCTAGCCATGGCACCGCTGGTGAGCTACCCGATCGACCACTCCGCAGCGACCCACCTGACGTTTCTACGTGAGATGCTGATGCGCGACTACAACAAGCGTGTAGAGGACTGCCTGTTTATTGTAGGAGACAACTGCTACGCTAACCAGCGCCTTGCTAATCTCTTGAGTGTGCCACTGGTCGGATGTGCAAGCCACCGCCTGAGTCTGGCGGTGGAGAGCTTTTTCCGTGAAGTATCGGACGATTTAGACAAAGTAAGTCGCTGATGGTAAAACTGAAGGAGAGTTTAAACCAATCCGCAAAGCTCAGGTAATTTTCAACGACTTTTGTCCAATGATTGCACGCTAACTTTGTTAACTCCGTTTTAGGTTCAATACTCCATTGAGGCCCATGCTAAGTCAGGACACTCGCTGGAGCTCCACGTTTTGTATGATCCATCGCTACTTTCGACTGCTGGAGTTCATTAAAGACGACGACGAGCTAGCCGACAACCTGCCCGGTCCAGCTGCCAATCGCCGCTTGCGCAAGCTCCTGGAGGACCTGTCGAAGGTCGATTCTGTCAGCAAGGAGTTGCAGGCTTCTACGGTATCACTCCTGGACGCGCGTGTGTACTTCGACGGACTATTGGAGTCGCTGTCTGCGCTGGCATCGCATATCGGTAATTCTACTCTTTATATGCTTTCAATATTCGCACTAATACGCTTTCTATTTAGCTGCCCTGGTGCGATTGTGCACTCGCCTCATTTTGAGGCTGCGTGTGTAAAAGTACTGGACGGCAAGACAACAGAACGGACGAGGGCCGAGACTGCATCTCTGCGCCGCTTTGCCGTCCAGCGTGAAGAGACTTCCATTGCAGCAGCAGATGACGATGCTGAGAGCTCATTTATTAAGAAGGTGGAGAAACGTCGTAAGCAAGTGGGGCCACCAAGTACGAGTTGATTCACGCAATCCCGCCAACGTCAAATATCGTTGAGCGATTTTTTAGTCTCGCCAAGGCTACTGTCGGTACGCAGCGCCAAGGTCTGAATCCTATCACGCTCGAAATGCTGCTATTTTTGCGCGTGAACAGCAGCTACTGGAACGTGCAAGTGGTCAACAAGTGCACGTAAGCAGAGATGGAATCATTATTGCGTGCAATGGCAAATGTATTGCAATAATTGAATTTATTTCTTTTGCTTACTCCTCCGATAATTTGCGTTACTTGTCGAGTTTCATTTGTGAACAATGCCGTATTCGGGAGCCCTGTATCCGATGGAACTCCATATTCCTACAGAAAAAAGCAAGAAATTCTCTCGCGTCTTCAAGCATAGTAAAATAAAAAATAAAAAATATCATTCATTTAAAAATGTCCAAATCAGTACACAATTTACTGGTATCTCTCTCAAAAAGAACACATTCAGCTGTAGAATGGCAAAAGCGACTAACCAATATCAATGTTATTCTGATAACCATTTAAACATTGTTCAGAGGTACAAGTATTGAAGAGTACTCCGATCGTATTGTATCGATCGGAGGACAAGTACAACGCGGCAAGCGATGTCAAAAAAGAAAAGAAAACTTATTTTTGTAGTCTCTACGGGTGTGCGTGCAGTCGAATAAATTGATTCATGCTTTCCTTCTCTTCAGCCGCATTGCACTAGCTCTGCCCACGTCAACTCACAGGCATTTACCCGTCGAAGCAGCTTGAAACTGCTAGTATATTCATTGCGTTCTCCCACAACTGCAACCGGTAATAGGACGATATGGTGTGGGTGCCAGATGGACTGGTAATAGCCTAGCTGCGTTGATGGATCAGCTCCAAATGCCAACAACAAGTACACCAGCGGGTCACTCATAAGGACCGCATTCATAAACGCCACATTCGCCTCCACATCATTCGAACGTCGGTGAAGGCACTTCAGATGATGCTGAATAAACCGATTGGTGTCAAAGATTTTACCCGATAACCGTGAGCGCAGTCGTTTTTCTTCTTCGGGGAGATACTTGCAGCGAACACTGGCTGTTACGGCTAGTACTCGTGCATCCTCATATTGCTTCCAACCCAGTAGTCGAGACCTAATAGGATAGCGATGGCGATAATGGTTCTGTTGTGCGGTTTTAAGCATTGCTGGCTCGTTGTATCGGGTATCTCGAATGCAGTAAAAACTGCTGGGCCACTGGACACATACACTCACAACAGGCCATAGTGTTCCAGCTGAATAGGGTACTGGAGTAGGGGGCAGTGCAAGCCAATGGCTGTCTTTAAGCTTGCCCTTGTTATACCGATATGCCCACAAATGTGACCAAACTATATGCACACCCCACCATGCTGCGACTAGAAATAGTAAACAAGCGAGGAATTTCAGATCGATGACTACGCCACCAAGCACGACACCACCCTGGCCTCTATGTCTGAAGTTATACTGATATTTGGCAGCTTCCCATCCACGCCCCATATTACTCGGAACTTCCATTATTCTCAGGATTTGGGACGATCGAAAGGTAGTGGAACGGTACTGAGAAATTAAAGTCACACTTGAGAACGCACTCAGTAAAAATTCGGGAACTCCAGTAGCTCCATTACTCCATTTGGTAGTGTGAAGCTGTCTGGTTGAGGTTACCATGCTTACCGCTACCTGCCATACCAATGCGTATATCCAGACACTACGCATCTGCACGACCGCATAGGAGATAAAAGCTTCGGGTTTAATATCTAGTGCACCGGCTTGAGAGAAGAAGTGACCTTCAAGAACATTGTACGTGAACGGAGCGTCTAGTAAATGAGCAAGAACATAGCATAATACTGGAAATGAACTCCCGTATACAACACACTGTGTTGGTACTTTTATGAATAAATCTCGAGCTTTCCGTAAACGTATCCAAATCGAAACTTTCTTCGATGGCCCGTAAATAAAATAGCAGCTCAAGATCAGTCCAATTCCTCGAAACCAGAAGTACATTTGCCCTATGGTGCGTAGGGCAGCTACCAGTCGATACCATTGGGTAACGTCCGATATCAAGAGTCCTGTTTCATAGCGATACTCCTCCACAAATAAAGTCTCACAGTCAGAAGAGCTGCAATCTCGAGCACGGATAAGAGTACTAACATCCGATCTTCGAAATCCAGTAAACGATAAACCCCCGCGACACACTTGCACGTCCTCTTGACTTTCAAGAAACGTGAGATCCACTGTCATATTAGGGAAACGAGCTTGAACAGCATGTAAACGTGTCATGGTGTGAACATATAACAACCCAGCAGCTCTACTTTTTGTATCGGATGGGGCACAAGAGCGATCCAGATTTGTCCATAATTCTTGACAAAAGTGCGGGGTTCGCACCCGATCTCCGTTTGAAGGGAAGCAGATATCACGAGCGCTTATAGATTTTAACAACTCGGGTGAATAGTATAGTATAGTATTGGTACGCCAATTAAAATTGTTAAACCAGTTCGACAGTAAAAACTGATGCAGTCGATCAATGTACTCGCTTTCAGTGCGCAGAGTCAGCGTCACCGGCCCATTTTTCGATGGTATCCATTTCTTACGCGTTTTGTTTATATCAACGACCCCATTCACGAGCCCGTCGATCATTCGGAACACCACGTCGCCGTTCAAAGTCAGTTCAGGACATTGTGCAGTGTAGAAAATACAGTCCGGAAAATCGGATATTCCGAAATACCTGGCAAAAGCGCGCCAACTAATCGACGTCGAATCGAATTTGTACGTCCAGACATTGGCTTTGAGATCTCCACTGTAAGCTTCTTGTTTTGTTGCTGCAAACACGGAATAATTCCACGACGTTCCAAAGCCCATTACCTCATCAGGATGAAGTGCAGGATAATATTTTTCCAAGTTCTGCACGCCAAGTCCACCTCGAAAAATGTCGGAGAGCACCAGCATCAAAGACACAAGACCCATCAAGAACCGTGACCACGATAATGGTAGATTTCGCTCAAAAACTTTTTCACGAGCTCCAAGTTGACGGAGATGTGTTGTGGTAATGAGAGCCTCTGGCGTGGAATGCAGCATCCTGGTACTTTGTCTGCTCCTTCGATCCAAGTAACGTAACACCCATCTCGATAATACAGCATAAGCTTGATCGTTTTCAGTGTCACCTACTGTGGAAGCGACCCGAACGCGACCCATTATGATGCTTAGGCTTGATACAACTTCTCCACTTCCGTGATGTTGAATTTTGGACTAATTTCATCACCACCGGAAATACCCGCGTCATCTTTAGTTTTGGATGATGATCACTACGCGTTCAGTTTAATTATGGACACCACTTTGCTTGGAAGAGGTGACTAAGTTATTTACACCACGAGACACAAGACATGCTTAAACTGTTTTCTCATTGTCGACATACAGCAGTCATGGGACGCAGGTCAAGATCAACTACTACTCCCTCAGCTCCAGGGTCTGGTTTCCTGTACATCGCTCTTGACTCGTGCATGATTTGTCCCTCGTTGATTCCCAGCACATCTTGTTCTTCGACACCGCAGTAGTAAACATATCGTTTCTCAGCATCCACTTGTGCCTGACTGGAAGAGAACAGTATCGGTTGTCCGAACAGCTCCGTCACTTTGTGTACCTTTCCAAATCGATTGCTAGTTGCATGGATATCAGCCATCGGCGCCTTCTTCAGCGTCCCGGAGAACAAATGCACGTCATCCAGATAAATATCCATATCCTTCACTCCACGCTCTGGAGTTTTGCTATAATTCCAGAATTTAATCAAAGATACCACTACAGGAGTGTCAAAACCGATGTACAAAATATTCCCCTGTTGATTCCCCAGAGAACTAGCCAATGGAGCAAGCCAGGCGTCATGAGCTTCCCACGTATTCTTATCGAGTCCACTGACAAGATTTTCTGGTATTCGAGAGTCTTGTTGCTTTGAATTGTCAATTTCCGAGACGGAGTACGGTACAGCAGTGATAACTGAAGGTTTCTCAACGATTCGAGCTCCAGAATGGTCGTAGAGTTCCAGTCCGTTGAGTCCAAGATAATACGGATCGCCCCATGTTGTCCAACAAATAATCTTAAGTAAGAATCCTTGGGGATAGAGTGGAGCCTCGTAGTCTTGTCTGATGATTGGTGTCTTGTACGCTCGAGTAGTGAAGGGATAGCGTACACGCTCGACGTATGAAGGAGTCTCAACGTCTGAGAATTGCAGCAACTGGCCGAAGTCAAAGGCGGCAACTCCTGGAGCTTTACGCAGCAAGAATCCAGTTTCTTTTGGGGAGATAATTACGCCGTCTAGCATCACCACTATCTGCTTGACGCCGCGGTAGGTATCTTCTGGTGATTTATTGTAGTTCCAGACTCGGAGACCATAAAAATATTGGACGGATTTGAGCTCGATACGCACTTCTGGTACAGTTCCTGCTTGAAACGGAACCAACCACATATGCGTGTCATCGCACGTAGTATGTTCACCGTCAATCAACTAACAACAAACGTAAGTCAGCTCGAAACTTATTTTTTATGCTGAAACTGGACGCACCTTGTCGAGTGTACGAGGATCGCCGATATATCCCAACTGCAGAGCAACGGTAACAAAAATACAGCGCGTTATCAAAATAAACACTTTAGTAAATACTTTTGAATGACATACCGAAGCCAAATCTCGCGGTTTTGCATCCAAGTTGCTGATATCAAGAGGGATTGGAGTCCCGTGTGAACCGACCAGCACCTCCACTTGAGTCAATCCGATGTAATTTCTATCGCCCCATGTACTATGCAATTGCAGAATAAGTCGTCGACCGCGAGGCAGTTTATCATCTAAAGTAAGTCCATCATTGCTGTTCCTCATCGCTGACATCCGCTGAGGTTCTTCAGCAACCCACGAGTCGATCGACGTTCTCACTCCCGCATTTCTTGCCACCGTCATGGGTCTGCCATCTTTGCCCACGCGCAGTCGACTGTCTTCATCATTTTCTTGGATTTTCGGACTCTTTTCAACTATCCTGGACCCTGCATCTGACGTCCGCGGACGTTGTAGTTCCATTGATCGATGTACATTATCCACAATTTCACGAACTTCCTCATCTTCACGCTGTTGTTCCATAGCAAGTGTCCGCAACGCCTCATCATTCGCCTCAATAGCCTCAAGAATAGTTGGCTCTTGAGTGAATAGTATCACTTCATTGGAGATCTCCATGCTATCAGCTCCTACCAGACCTGGAGCCTGCTTTATCTCGCCTTCAAAAATCACGTTTCCATCCGTCATTTTACTCTCAATACCCGACAATACAGTTGGAATGTGATCGTAAAAAACTAGTCGCGCCTCACGAACACCTCGACAAGTGTGTGTACGTGACTTGTTGTAGTTCCAGATACGTATCATCGACACGGACACGGCACAATCCATTCCCAGCAACACATAGTGAGGCTGGTCCGGTGTAAATGGAGCGAGCCACATGTGGAAATCATCGCAAGTAAAATTAACTCCGTCCACCAGGTTTTTGGGCACTCGAGGGTCATCAGAGTTCTCTTCTAACACATTGATGCTCTCGGGACAAGCTGTTACCTGCGTCTCTGGGTCTCGGAATTTAACTAATTTACCTCTGTGATTGAAAATCTCCACGCCATTGAGTCCCACGTAATAGGGATCACCCCACGTACTCAGAATCTCTATCTGTAGCCATTTTCCACTCGGAAGAATAGGAATGTCTGCAGTTGCTTTGAGGCGGATATCGCTGCTAGGTTCTCTGTTATCGAACATTGGTTCGGAGGAGGAATGTTTTATAACTTCTGAACAAGGTGACGGTGATACAGCCACGTAGCTGGACGGTCCTTGTCGTAGCTCGGACAAAAGAGCAGATTTTGTGAACGACGTACGACTTGAAGATGCCTTAGCTTTGTCCTCCTCATAGCTTTCCACTCCAAATTTCGTGGTTTCTCCAGTAGGTTGCGCGAGACGGCTTCGGTTTGTTTTGCTGAAGTTTTCGAGACTATCCCACGATGAGAGCGATACGAGAGCAGGAGCTTCAGTCTGCCGGTAGCGAGGCTTCTCGTGCTTCAGATCTTGGACGGTTTGACTACAGCTCTTCTCTTCTGCACGATCGGACCGCACATCTTTTACGTCACTCTGAGAGCTGTACACTGGTTTTCCTTGTCTTCGACGACTCGTTATGTTGCCACTGGGTGGTTTTTCGTCGGCAGTCCATGAGTCAACATCACTACTCCGGCTTGTCACTGGCAAACGTTCGGTTGATAGAGACGAGGAAGCTGATCCAGACAACCACATCGGAGTCCCACCCACCGGCTTTACAGAAGTGGACTCGTCGTTTTGAGTTGTGTGTTGCTCTGAAGTTATTGCATCAGTCCATCGAGCAGACGACTTCATACTCCTATCAGTCGATAGAGAGCTCCCCTCGAGATGAGATGTGCGTGATGTCTTTCTTACTGTTTTCCTTACTGAATCCAGTAAATCTATCCAAGTGCAGATATTATCGTCTTCATCCCCAAAAGTTTCTGGTAGAGAACCCATCCACACCGATTTACCACTCACCAACACTTCGATGTCCCGAGTGCAAGCAGTATGCGATCTCTACATAGATTATGTTAGCATTAGCAAACGATATCAATTTATCAATGAAAAACTTATACTCACACTGTTGTAATTCCATACACAAAGCTTACTGGGAGCCAATAGAACTTGGAAGCGGATAAGGAGGACACCTGCCCAAAAAAGAAATGTCAGAACAACTATCAACATTTACAACAGCAGGGAACCCTTTACCTGAGTCTCCCAATCGTCCAAGCCACATGTCTTTCTCCCTATTTGTCTGCGCAGCGCCATTAAATAACCTTTGCAGTCCGTGCACCATGTCGTTTGTCTTGGGTAGTGGTCTACCCGTAGGCTGATCGTAAAGCTGCAGCGTTTCCAAGTCTACAGAAAGCTCTTCGCCGTTCAGGTCGTAGACGCAGATCTGAGTGAGACCCACAGCGCGCGTTCTACCCCAAGTTGACAGCAACTTGACGTGAATGTCGTGACGTTCCGTGCTACTAGCAGTCTTGGAATTCGAAGAAAAAGACAAATTGAGACGTGGAACCAATACAGACTCTAGGGACGGTTTTGAGCCCTCTTGAGCAATAGTATCTCTCTGATCTGAAGTTGTAGGCATGCTCTTGACGTCCGCGTATAGCTCCGTATCCACCTGCGAGATATTGTGAGATTCTCTCCGCTTTTTACTCTTCACGTCGGGCTTTGTCGTCCTATTCGGCTCCATCTGGTCATCCGACTTCATTGTCGTACTCGGTGCCTCAACTTTAACAGCACTAACTGGTTCAGTAGCAGCTGTCTCTTCTTGCAGTGCTCGTAGTTTTGCTAGCCGTTCTTGTCTTTTAACTTCCATGAGTCTTTCAATTTCGCGCTCTTCATCTTCTAACTCTTTCATCATTTTAGCACGACGTTCTTCTGCTTCTTTGAGTATCCGCTGTTTTTCTTCTCGTTCACGTATTAGTCGTTCCTTCATCTCTCGTTCGTACTCATCCTCCAATCGTATTTGCTCCTCTATCAAGTTTTTCATTGGCGCTACAACTGTAGCGACATCATGACTGTCCGAAGCTTTTGATACGGAATTGGAACCTTCGGTAGCGCGCTCTGTTGCTGATGAATCAAGTGCTGACGTGATCTCCTTCCAAATAGCAGGATCGCCGATCGAATTCTGTAAAATCTTGACATCGTTTTCATTGTGATCACCACTCTGGAATTTTTGCAATACATCGACCAACGCTCTCTGCTTCGATCGAGAAAGATGTTGAATAATTGCGAAAAGCTCCTTGGTCGTCTTGGAGAGATCTACCCCTTCACCTTTCGTCTCGTTTGCACAGTTCTCTTCTTCATGAATCACCAGCTCTTCCATTCGCCCACGAGTGTTTTCTCTCTCATCTTCTTCTTCAAACTCCTCAAATGACTCCTCCAAGTAACTCTCTTCTTCATCTTCTCCATCTTTGTTCTCGTTCTTCGCCTCCTGCGTCGTAAGCCGAAAAAGCGGTACACCGTCTTCATGCTGTACCGCAACGCCCATAGGAGCCTGAGGACGACTCCACTTGGCTCTTCGTGCTCTATTCTGCTCCTTCTCTTCGCTACCAGCAAAATGTAACGTTGTGGACGGCGCCGATCTGCATTTCGAGAGCTTTCCCGGAAGTTTTGTGGGTAGTATCGACGTCGCTGATCTAGTGTTTCTCGACGATGCAGAGGACGATGAAGTGGACTGAGCGGCCCGTGTTGGGACGTTGAACGCCGTCACAAAAGCCTCCTCTCTCTCCTGAAGACGGTCGTTCCGTTTTGAAGCCGCAGCCAGTCGCTTCTTCACTCTATTCCTCTCCTCTAGTACTTTAATGTATTGAAGCTGCTTGGTGAGCACGGGATCAGCTTTAGCGTCTGAGGTGGAGGAGCTACTGGAAGGATGAAAGTCCTGCTGCTTATCCCAACGCTTCCGCTCCGCCATCTTATCGTTTAACTATTAGATATCAAGATCGTTTCGAGACTTTTAGAGGTCGATGCAAAGCGACCCGCTAACAGACACAAGTACCGTTTCAAGGTGCATTTTGGTCTCCGTTAGATCAAAGCCAGTTCCTGTATTGCTGATCGGATGTTGAGACGGGAAGAATTCCCTCGCAGCACGCATTCATTCGTGTATGGTCTACATGCATTCCGTAGAGGGAATAACAAGCGTAGTGGTCATTGTGACGCAGTTGGTAGCGTGCAACGAGTTAATTTTGCTATGAAGCATTTGCAAATTTGCGGGCTTCGAATAGCAACTCTCTTCTCGGCACCTTATCATATCGTCCGCGTCTATTGAAGCTGCTGCCCAAGATGAAGTTTCTGAAGTTCCTGGTCGACAAGAGATCTCGCGACAGCGCTGATCATGCTGCTAATGCTGCGACTGGTGTGCTGCCTCCCGTCAACCTGACAAGCCCGACTCGTCCTATCAAGAGCGCTGGCAACGGGGAGAAGAAACCCAAAGTCGGAAAGCTTACGTTGTACATGCTATTGTCCGACATTTAACGCTGAGGAAATAGCGACGAATTCAACAATTGAAAGCAACAGCAAACTGCTCTTATGCGTGATTCTTCAAAATATACACTGATTTTTTACACACTTTCCTTTGTTACGTATTACTCTTGTTTTTCTTTAATTAATAGTACTCTTCAACTGCCTGTATCATTCTCATAGAATTTAATAATTTTTTGTAAAACGACCGACTAAATTCTGTCAAAGTACTTCAAAGTAGTATTTACAGACTAGCTGTAATACAATACATGTACTATACTACAGTTAAATTCACCAACATTCCTCTGTGGACGTAATCCCTCGTAGAATATGTTGATGCACTTGATGCACTTTGACTCCAAGTCCCTCCTCAGAGCAAGGCATTCAGGCATTCCTCATTCACCAATCTGCACTGCAAGTGTTAAGCGACTGCTGACGCAACTTCACCGCTAAGATGAGCTCACCTCCAACCTTTAATGCACCGTGGGGTAACGGCCCCATGCCGACAAAGGAGCAGATGGACCGCTGGACGGACGAAAAGTACGTTATCCCTAATTATGTGTGATGCCTATCTATTCTAACTGTTATCCTGGCTGCTCCAGCTCGGCAAACTGCCTCGAATACGTCAAGCGGAACGCAGAGCGTGGCAACCCAGCCTCCGTTATCAACTGCATCGATGAGTTTGCCTCCACCAACCACATGATGAACATTGGGCAAGTCAAGGGAGCCGTGATTGACGAGGAGATCCGCAAGAAGAAGCCCACCGTTATGGCCGAATTGGGAGCTTACACCGGCTACAGTGCCGTGAGGTTCGCAAGCCTGCAGCGTGAGGTCGCTGGCAACGAGTCGCATTACTACTCCTTTGAATACTCTCCAGTATTCGCTGCTCGCGTTCGTGAGATGGTGGAAATCGCGGGTCTAACCAACCAGGTGACGGTGTATGTCGGGGAATTCTCGGAGCAGTATGGAGTGCTGCGCGGCAAGACCGTCGATGTAAGTGACTATTTTACATAGTTAGCGCTGTGCTGGTCTAACAGTGAGCTGTTATGGTGTAGTTGTACTTTATCGACCATGAGAAGACAGTCTATCTTTCCGACTTGAAGCTGATTATCAGCAGTGAAACTCTGGCGCCGGGCTCAATTATCGCTGCGGACAACGTGGTGCGCCCCGGCGCTCCGGACTACCTGGAGTTCATCGAGAACAGCCCTCAATTCTCGACTGTACGTCACACGATCAAGTGCGGCCGCGATGGCAAATTGCTGCCGGACCTGTCGATTGCAACTTTCCTAGGATAGAAACTTGACCGTCCTCGGAGCGATTTTACAAGTAATTGAGATCTAATCGATCTATGAAGTTGAGTTTGCAAGTACTAAGTATCATTTTGTCTTTACTTATGTGCTTTGAATGCACAATGACGCCTGAACGAGCAGAACAAACTAGGATCATCTGTCAAACTGTAGAATGCTCGCTGGACCGCGTAAGTAGGTACAAGTACTGGTCGACGATTCTGTCAGCATTAAAAATGTGCGGCGAGGCTAGCGTGTCCAGATGAACAGCATCGAACCCATACAGCTTCTTCGCCTTAATGAAGAACGATAAATCGTGCTCTTCGTGACCTGGAACATGGTGTGCAAAGCTCACAAACACCTGTCCCATCCAATAACACAGCAAACACAACACAACCCAACCGATCACAACGTTAACTGAGATATAATTCAAAATAATAGCACATCTATCGCACCTTTCCTCCTGGTGCCAGACACGCGTCAATAGATTTCAGCAAGTCTTCGTGCTGATAAACCGACAGCAAGAAGGAAAAAAAAATCAACACCTGAGAGCTCTCAGCAACAGTAATCAGGAGCTTACCAAGTCATGCAACCATAGACACTCCGCAACAACAACCACATCAAATCGAGTTTCCGTCAAGTCTTCTGAACTTTCAGGATCCTTCTCACCAACATCCGCATCTGACGTCGAAGAAGCGAGACACTTTAGCAGCCCCCTTGTGTCACTTCCCCAAAGATGTCCTCGGACTTCGCGTCTCCCAATGCCCAACAGATGCTCATTACGCTTGATATTCGTCTCAATATTTTTCAACAACAAGTCGTTCGGATAGTCTGCACAACAAACGTTTAGAACATTGCTTACCACACTGCCCAGTAAAAAAAATCATAAGTTCGCTCACCCGTCATCACAGCCAACTTGGCCCCGAAATGCAGCGCTACAAGCGACGGTAGAGCTCTGTTTAATAGAAATAAACAATTATCAGAATTCCAATGTTGTCGTCAGTAATTAACTCGGATATCTTACGAAGCTGCGCCGAATTCCACGAGACTGCGACCTTCCACGAGCTTTGGATGGTTGGCGAAATGCATAGCTATAAACCTCTGAGCAGGGAAATATTGCAATTGGATTGCATAGCTAAGTTTTACTGCAATTCCCAGCTCTTGAGTTGCAGCAAGAACGCACCGCTCCATTCCAGACAGCGCATGCGAAGAGCGATCCGGGAATACCGCCGTCGTCGTCTGCTACTGAGATACGGAAGTGCGGCGCCGAGCCCCCTACGTCCAGATCCAGCACAAAATCCTCCGGGTTATAGCTGTTGTCCTCCCCGTTCTGCAAGAATAGCGCCCCAACAACGTTGTCCTCGGCCTCCATTTTCAGCTTAATTTCTTTTAAGAAGACAGAATACAAATTATTTTTTTAAAAAAGTTGTCGTCTAAATAAATTTAATAATTTTACAAAAAACTCTTTTAAAAAATGAACCGTTTTTTAACGTTATTTACGGCTGCAAAGAGAATCAGACTTTTCAAGCTGAGTGGAAGCTCTCGCATCCTAAATCAATACGAGAATATCCGGCTGAATAGAGCACGCCGTGGTGGCATTGCTGGAAACTCATCCGTCTTTAATTGATATTTAGCAAAACCTATACAAGGAACTCACGACTCAAGATGCAGCGCACATATAGCAACCGTTGGTTAGGCTGCATCTCCTTCAGCTGGCGCCTGCTTACGTTTAAGCAGTCGGTTTTGTGTCAGAACAGCATCAAACGAGTGCTCGTAATTCTCACCCATCTTGGCTCGCATCAGCTCAACAACCTGTCGTATTGCTCAACAAACTTGTCAAAGAGATCTTCTTTACTCGTCTCATAGGTAATAGTCATATCGGACAGTGCCAACACATTCAACTCGTTCTAAGTCCAACGTGATCTTTTCCCCCTTTCCGGGGTTTGGCATTGGCTTTTGTTTCTTGAGGAAATACATCTCGACGCGCTTCGAGAGATCGAGTTCCTCTTTTTTCTTCCGGATAGAGTCCAACCCCTGTGCCCTCCACTGCTTCGACTTCGCGATCTCGTTAAACGCCTCTTTTTGTGTTCTGCCAGGTCCAGTGAGACGGCAGTTTCCTTAGCTCAGCCTCCATCTCAGATGTCCACTTGTTTTATACAGCTGTTATGCTTTTTTTTTATCAGCAGGTATTATCTTATTAATTGCTTTAATACTCGTGGAGGGCTCCGAAGCGGTGGAGGCTTCGATGGTGTCGAAGCCGGACTTCGTTCAAGCCGACGATGTGTACACCGACGTTCTTGATGCGGACGCGGCTACAAGGCAAGATCTACTCAACCGACTACGCAAATCTACCGCGTCAAAAGCATGCTTTGTATACTACGCGCTCACAGATGGCGAGTTTTACATCGAGATGATTCGGCTACATCGGCTCGGTAATGTTTTTTTTTTATTTTTTACGAACATACTTATTTTCTCATTGTAGGTAAGTCCGTCCAAGTCATCATTGACAAGGGGTGGACAAGGTGTTGCACGGCAGTCCGGAAATGTGTGTTAGAGCTTGTGGTTGCAGGAATTCCTGTCTACCACAGCCTTCACCTGATGCACTACAAGCTCCTCACTATTTGGGATGAGGACTCAGCATTCGCAGTTGGAGGTAGTGCCAACTTGACCAAGGCCGCGTGGACGCGGAATGACGAGTTTATTTTCCACGTCGAAGGACGTGGCGGTAAGTATGTGCTTGTATTAAATTTATTTACTGTAGCACTCGTCTCTATCTATGTTTCGATAGCTTACCAGGCACAAGAACGATTCGACACACTTCTGCAGAAATGAGTCCATACGACTCCAGAGGACCTTTCTCCGACGAGACTCTCGTCGGGAGGGAGCCCATATCCCAGCCAGCGCTCACACGAATCGCAGGACACCATTTTTCTTACGGCAGAGCGGTCGTCGTCGCCGTCGATTGCTCAACCTTCACCGTCGTACGGTCGGACTGAAGATACGCCGTCATTAGAGCAACCGACGAGGTGGAGCGATCCCCACTGCTGACGCTATCAGGCTGACTGTGGTTGTATCCAACTGTTTAGTACGATCTTTCTCGTAAAGTTCGTTGTCGGTGGCACATGACGCTAGAGAACTTAAAATAACATTCCGGACCTCCTTGGGCACTGGTAACACCAGACATACGTTTTAATGAATAGCGAAGACTCAAAATGCGTTTCTAGCGAGCGCGGTTGTGATAATCAGTTGCACTATCGCGATTTTTTTCATAAGTCACGCCGCCACTGTCGCCCTCACCAATAAAGATGGCCGAAAATGACTGAAATCATTTGTGCCACTAACATACAAAGCGATTGTTAGAGATTTCCGGAATACCGGTAGGTGTTGGAAATCTGATGGTATGATACGATCTAAGATATTGTTCAATTTGCTCACATTTATTCTAGTATTTTCTTACTCTTTTATTATAAAATAGTCTCAAAAAAATTCTTTATATAAAAGTCCAATTTCAAAAATTGACGCGAGGACAAGGTTGACATCGATGTCGCAGTCACTAGCGTCGTCTTCGCATGCATGTAGCTCACCCGCGAAGGCTCCAACCGTTCCACCAACTGGCATGCGCTCACCCACAAAGATCCGCACTCCGATCAAATTGGTGCGGCCACGAGAGACCCACTGGGCGTCGAGAGCGAAGGACGTGAAGAAGAGACAACTCGATTCTGGGGAAAGTCATTCGGAGAGCGCACTGCCACTCCCCAAGCGCCTTAAACTGAGCCACACAGAGCCCACTAAACAGGGTGGAACACAAGCTCCAAACACTGAAGTGCCTGGTGCTAGAGGTACTGAAGAAAAGCTACAGGAGGCTAAAGAAGTTGAGGGTAACAGAGGTTACGCCGATGCGTTGAGCCGCAAAGTGGAGGTAGCTCAATGCCTCGAGAAAGACCTGCTGCGTGACAATGCTCGAATGAGGCTCAAGATATTGAATTTGAGGGACGAGGTGGACTTTTACTACGGACTTCTCACTAAGATTGAGCTTCTAGCGGCTGATAAGAATCGGGAGAATACAGGCAAGAGTAACCAGGAGCAGGAACAGGTTACGAAACTAGCAGAGCAGTTGCGACGTATTATCAGCGCGTCCAAAGCCGTGGACGGGATCGTGGAAGTGCGTAATGGAGGTGGTGTGGAGCATGAGTGATGCTGTTGTGAGGGTTATGGTGAGGGTTACGCGATACAGATCACCACGAGAAATGGTATCGTTGACCCTAGTGAACGAGTCCAGCGGAACCTTGTTGATTACAGGTTTACGTTGTGGGTTTGGCGAGGAAAGTTATGTATTCAGGGGCTCCTGGGACTTGCGCATTGTCTGAAGTGAGCAACAAGCCTTGGAGGGGGTCACGTACAAGCACTTATCCTGATCAATACAGTATTTTACCTCATGGAGTCCCAAGATGAAAAAATGATGTGAGCTTGAGAGTGGATAAGAGAGTGAGGAGCAGTGCACTCGCATCGACGAACGCTTTGATGACACCATCTACAGTCACAACAGCACAAGTCCAGCAAACAACGATGAAGAGACTTTCCAACGTACCTCACGTGCAGGCTGCGAATTACAGCGAGTATACCAGCCATTTTGACGACATATTAGCTCGAAGACATGGCGTAACGCGTCAAGACTCGATTTTGCAAGTTTCTTCGAAGTTATAGAAGTTGGCTCACTAAGAGGAACGCAAGATAGTCTGCGAATGTATTGACGTGTCCAAGTTGCCTGACGGAATGCGTTTGTATTCCCTGGTGCTCTTTACATACCTCACAAACATGACTGCCTTCCCGATTCGCCGCTTGAGCTGTTCGACTGAGTACTTACAGTATTCCATTTCTTGAACATGTCGAACCGGAACCGCTCGTCTCGTAGCATCTTGTACAGACTCTTTTCGGTGAAGTATTGCCAATCCCACAGCCTATTGATGCCAGCAATGGCTCTATCTTCATCGTCTGCGCCAGTATCGATATCCACGGTGAGGCGTCGCAAATGCCTCTTGTGCTTATTGTATCTGTCCCTTTGTTGCTGGCCAATACCATCAGCGGGTTTTTGGTTTCCCAGTTACACTGGGTTGGATGCACCAGAGGCTACCGATGCAACGATGCAAGATGAAAGAAGAGCGGCCACAATCACTATAATACCAGGAAGTGCCCGGGACGCATAGCGAGTGTGTGTGGCTTGAACGGGCTACGGAAAGCCATTTGCAAAGTGACACTAAGAGCACAGCGTACGATACCGCTATCGACAAATAGGGGCTGTATCAAAT